TACAAGATTAAGTGAAATTGAAATTTTAAAAGAAAAAAAAAAGATAAATGGTTATTTGGGTAGGTTAATTTGAGTAATGCATTTGGATGGTGGAGAAAAAATGAATGGAGAGTAGATGTGAAAGAAATATAATGAGAGAATTAAGATAAATGAATGTAAGAAAAATAATTTGTATAGGTGGAGATAAAATATTTTCAAAGAAAAGAAAAAAGAGATAAATGGGATAAGTGGGCGTGGGAATGAGGGAGAGGAAGAAAGTAGGAGAGGTAAAATGACAAATTTTTCATCCAACTTTTATAAAAATGAGTTATGAAAGAAGGGTAAAATTGATCTAAAACATTTCTCCTCATCCCACCTTTTATATATACTAGTAAAATACACATGCGTTGCACGTATAATTGTGTAGTTTTAATTTATAGTAAATATTATACATACGTATGTCCGTGTTGTTAATTTTGAGAGTACTGATTTGAAAAATTATACGATTAACTCAAATCTATACTTATAATTGTGTACTTATAGTTTTGAGTACTGATTTGCATGTATAATTGTGTAGTTTTAATTTTTGATACTTATTTTTAAGATTTATACTTAATTTTTTTTCCATATCTAAGAAGTCAAATCTAAATAATAATAATAATAATAATATGTTAAAATTAAATTAAAATGAGAGACTCACATTAATAAAATATGCGGTAATCAAGGAATACATATTTTTATTAATTTCCATATCACACACATTTCACTGTTGTCCTATCAAAAAATCAAAATCCAAAGTATTAAGAAAATTTATAAAACAAAATTGTATCGTCATTCCAATAATTTCAAAAAATGTATATACATTTTTTAAAAAGTAAAACTCTCATCTTACGCATTATATTAATAAGTACATAGTAAAAAAATAATATTTTAATATAAAGAAAAAATATTTATTATTTTAAGTTTATTTATTTTAAATAAATTATGTATATAAAATGGATCACAAAAAATTATAACAATTTAAAAATATTTACCATTAAGAGAACTAATTTATTGCTTTAAATAATTATCTTATAATGACTAATTTATTATTTGCCAAAAACAAATGTTTAAACCTACTATAATTAGTATTGTTACATATCTAATAGGTCAAATTTTTAAAACAATGGCTAACATTATTAAAATATGGGGTAATTTTTTTTAACGAAAATATGGGGATAATTTAGAAATACGAATATTGTAAACCGTAATCACCATATTCTTAATGGTTTAAACAATTTTTTGAAATCTATACTTAAATTGTTTCCATATCTAAGAATTCAAATCTAAAAAAAAAAAATAACAATCTTTTTTATGAGGGTGCACCATGGTATGAGTTATTCGCCGTTAGGGAGTTCAATTTTCCTAGATCATCATTTTTTAAGTTGTAGTATTGTTTCGATCTACCAAATCTGAGGCTAAAATGAGGTAAAGTTTATTTACAGTTTTGTTTTGATTAATGTTTTGCTATCATATTCTTCCTCACCACCTAAATCTACACTGGCTTAATTATTGAAAATTTCAAACCTTTTTTTGGGTAAAATAATTAAAAAAAACAAAAGTTAAATATAATTTTGATTTACCTCTAATCAACTTGATCTTGAACTTGTGTCAGATTTGAAACAGATACTAAAAGGAGTGGATCTGTTGAGGAATAGTGCATATCAAATTTCAAAACCTCAAACAAGGTAACCAATGTTTTAAGGAATTTGGGTTACCTTAATATTTGTCTATGAGTTTATCATGAACAAAGAAACATAAAGGCAACCTGGACCTCTGAGGTAGACGTTGATAAATGTTATTCTCAAGCGTTACCAAATAGAGGAAATATGGCCACACCCATTTTGTTTCTCATCTCCGTTGGGATAGAGGGCTAATTTCCTTCAACACAAACAAACAAAATAATCCTCAAAAACCAACAATTTTGTGACAATCTATTCTTGTTTCTAGCTTCTAGCTTGTAAAGAAAAACAGAATTTGAGCTGATGTTGCTAAATTTTCCTTCTCGTTCTCCCTTAAATATGAGATTTTTACAAAATTCCATAGGAAGTTGAATAAACAATTATTAATTTCTCCCTAGCCAATTTCATTTTCAAAATCTGTTGAATTTCTTGAAACAGTTTTAATCATAAAATTGTATTAATTCCTATTAAACCTTTCAATATGGAGCAATTCGGGGGCAAAATGTTGGAATATGAAGCAATCTTTAATCTAAGCATTTATTTCCACCCACCATTTATTTCTTTATCATTTAATCTCACCTTAATTTAAAATTTTAATAAGCTATATGTAAAAGGACCAATTTGCCACCGACTTCATATTCAAAAGTATAAAAAATGAAGGGCAAAAACGTCAAAAAATGTTTCTCCGGATCCTACTTTTTATATATACTAGTTAATATCACGTGCATTGCACGTGGTTATAAACATTTTAATATAATATTTCTACCAATTTAACATATAGAATAACAACTCAACAGAACTTTTTAATGCACTAATATTTTGTTTCAAATAAAATATATTTAATATAATATTTCTACCAATTTAACATATAGAATAACAACTCAACGAAACTTTTAAATGGTACTAATATTTTGTTTCAAATAAAATATATTATTCGTTGTCAATTTTTCTTTTTTAAGAAAACAAGAATAATCTTTTTGTGTGTTTTCTTAAATTATTTACTCATTCTTTTATCTTTTGTATATTATGTAATAAGGAATAAGGAACCAAAATTAAAGAATGTGAAATTTGAGAAAGAAACTGAATACTATGTATGCCATGAAATCATTGAAAAAATGTGAAATAAAGAATCACATAACCAAGAAAAATAAAATAAGAACAACAGCAATAAAAAAGTCATATTAAGATAAATAAGAAAACTAATACTAAAATATAACATGAATATATTTTAAAACGTGAAAAGAACCTTAACTAAATATTAAATCAAACTTGAAAATAACATTAACTAAATATTAAAACACGAAGGTATCATGAATATATAACTTAAAAGTAATCCACATAAAAATATTAAAATAATCTAAAAAAAATAAAAGTTGAAGATAATATGAATACATGATTTTGTTACTCTACCTCTTAATCGATTAAATATGTTTATGGAATCTCAAATATTCTTTTGACATGGTTCAGTTTTCACTCATGAAGATAAGAAAAATCTTCATTAATATTTTGGAAATGAGTTTTAGGTCATAAAAGAAAAAGACATAATATTTCATTTTATAGATTATTTGCTATGACACCTATACGTGGATAGATGCATCACTTCATCAAATAGTTGTAATTTTCATTGGATTAACTTCTCTCAACACACCTCTTCACTCGAAGAGTTACAACTCTTTTGGATGGTAGAAATTTGAAGGGCAAAATAGGTATATATTCAAAAGTTGGGGGCAAAATGGGAAGACAAAGATTCTCCTCCAAAGCCTCATTTAGATATAGTATAGACTATAGACTATAGATTTGTGAGGAAATAGACTCATTATTTCGTTGAACAGTCTTAGATCGATCACACCTATATGTGAATGGATACACTATTTCTCTCAATAGACAACTCATCTAAACGGTAGCCATATAGTAGAAGTATATGAAGGACACAATAGACATTTATTGAAATATTAAGGGCAAAATAGGTAGCCAAAAATTTTCCTCCACCCATTGTTGTGACTATAATGTTCCTATTCATTGTCTAAAATAAGGTTCGAGGACAAAAACTTCATATATATTTCGAAAATGAGTTTTGGGAAAAAAAATACATGATTTTCTTTCTTTTTATAATAATTTATAATCACACCTAGCCTTGAAAAAAAAAACCTTGGGACGTATCGCTCATTGGTCCGGTACTAGATGTAGCTTTTCCCCCGGGCAAAATGCCTAATATTTACAACGCTTTGGTAGTTAAGGGTCAARATACTGCCGGTCAAGAAATTAATGTGACTTGTGAAGTACAACAATTATTAGGAAATAATCGAGTTAGAGTTGTAGCTATGACTGCTACAGATGGTCTAATGAGAGGAATGGACGTGATTGACAGCCGAATTTTCAATGTGCTTGGAGTGCCTATTGATAATTTGGGTCCTGTAGATACTCGCACAACATCTCCTATTCATAGATCCGTCCCTACTTTTATACAGTTAGATTATTTGTGGAAGGTGCAACTCATTTAAATAATTTCTCTCAAGTAGAAAATCAAAATAAATTAGATATATATTAAAAAGTTGAGTACAAAATGGGGTGATAAAGATTCTTCCCAGGATCCTATTGAGATACAGTATATGGATAACTACTACCCAGGTTTAATTTGCATTATTATATAGCGTGATACCAAAAATTTTCATCAAATGCTTGAAGTTGTTTTGTTTGTATATTTAAAGTTGTAAATTATCCTTTGCAAAAAAAAATAAAGTTGTAATTAACATTGAAGTTCACAATGATTTTGTTTCTGTTTTAAAAAATCAAAATAAAAATTTTCTTAACTAACAAAATTCTTCTTTGTGCTGTTATTTTTTTTTTTCAAAGGTTGTGCTGTTAATCTATATCCTAAAGAAAGTTTTTCTTCCCTGACTCTTTTTGTTTTTATATAATCTTAATTCTAATTTAGTTTCTATGCTTTTAAAAGCTTTAATAGTTTTTATTTTATTATCTCAATGTTCGTGAGTTCAAATCTATTGGTGAATCTTTATATTTTGTTCTACATTCTCAAACTAACTTTTAAAATTGGCCTTCAAAGTGTCAAATGTAAAACAAAGAAAGGTATAAAAAAAAACTTTAAAACAGAAAAACAAAAACAAACATAAAATTTGAAGAATTGAAACAGAAAATTAGATCCAAACAGAAGAATATCGCATCGAATTGTTCTTCAAATCCATATAATCTTCACTCTTTCTCCTCTTTCTCCCTCTTCCCACTATCTATATATAGAAGGCCACAGGATCCCCATTTGTATCGAGAAAAAATGGCCCAAAAATTGTCTCTCATAGCCTTATTATTATTTTCTTTCTTATCTCTTTCCCACTCCTTACCCCTCTCCACAAGAGAAAGATGGATCATAGACGCTCGAACAGGCCAGAGGGTGAAGCTGAGCTGCGTCAATTTGGTGTCCCACGCACAGTCCATGGTGGCGCAAGGGCTTGACAAGCGGCCGTTGAAGGACTTGGCGGCCGAGATCAGCCGCCGCCAGTTCAACTGTGTGCGGCTGACCTGGTCGACTCACATGTTCACCCGCTTCCCCTTGATCAAGATGGGCGACGTCTTCGATGGCCTCGACATCACCGACGTCAAGAGCGGAGTGCAGAAGAACAACCCTGACATACTGAACATGACCGTGGCAGAGGCCTTCAACACCGTGGTTGATGGGCTCGGTGCCGAGGGCATTATGGTTTTTCTCGACAACCACATTAGCCAGCCGCGATGGTGCTGCTCTCTTAACGATGGCAATGGCTTCTTCGGAGATCGCAATTTTGACCCTAATGAATGGCTCAAAGGCTTGGCCTTTGTGGCTAGGAAGTTCACTCACAATCCCCATGTAAGTGAAAAAAAATGCCCCATTCCATTTGTTCATTAACATTCGTATCAGTTTGTGACTTGTGTTTGTTTTGTGTAAAAGGTGGTGGCAATGAGCCTAAGAAATGAGCTACGAGGCCCATTTACAAACACTGAAGTTTGGTACAAATACGTGAGATTAGGGAGCCATTTGATCCATAGAATAAATCCAAATCTTCTAGTGGTGATTTCAGGTGTAAACTATGACAATGACCTAAGTTTCTTAAAACAAAGGCCTTTAGGGTACAACCTACGCAACAAAGTAATATTGGAGGCTCATCTCTACGCCTTCAGCGGCGACCCCGAAAGCAAGTTCACAACCAAGCCACTCAACCTAATTTGTGACCAAATAATGCAGAAGTTCGAAAGGGAAGCCGGGTTTGTCACGGATGATAAAGCATATCCTTTGTTTCTAAGCGAATTCGGATACGATCAGACAGGCAGCGACCCGGCTCAAAATCGGTTCATGAGTTGCTTCTTGGCTCGTATAGCGGAGAAGGATATAGACTGGGCCTTGTGGGCTTTCCAAGGAAGCTATATGTATAGACAAGGGCACGAAGACCCGGAGGAAACTTTCGGTGTCATGGATGCCTCTTGGACTAAAGATCGAAACCCTAAACTCGGTCAATTGCTTCAGCTCGTCAAGAGAATAAACCAAGGTTTGTCATTTATGCTTAGAAAATTTCTCGAACAATAAAGAAGAAAAATCTTGTCCTTACCACTTCTTTGTGCAGATCCAAATTCAAAAGCTGCAATGTCATACATAATGGTACATCCAGTGACAGGGGAATGCATGAAACCGGACGGCAAGGGAGGAATCGAACTCGGCAACTGCACGGCGCCGAGCCAGTGGAGCCACGGCGGCGATGGAACTCCGGTGAAGTTGGTGGCAAATGGGCAGTGTCTGAAGGCCGCCGGAGAAGGGAAACCGCCGGTGGTCTCCGACGACTGCTCCGGCGAAGGAAGCAACTGGACGGCGGCTTCCAAGTCGAAGCTTCATTTGGCCACCAAAATCGGCGGCGAGAATCTGTGCTTAGAAAAACAATCCGATTCTTCAATGGCAACAAAGAAATGCATCTGTATTGGAGATGATTGGAACTGCTTGGACGATCCTCAGAGCCAGTGGTTCAAGCTTGTTCCAACTAATGTTGCTTAATTAGTTTGGTTTTTTAATTACAGATTTAGAATAATTTTCGTTATTTTCTATTTAATTTATTATTATGGTCAGGAACATTTTAAAATTTTAATATTTAGTGCTTGGCATGAAGAAATTTTGTAGATGCCAAGATTGTTAGGGTCTTAGGTTTCATGTGTTCACTTTCTCATCTAATTAAAGTTATGTTTAAATGATCAATTTAGGTTTTGATTTTTGAATAATACATATTTATCCACGTGCCACGTTTCTTGTTTTAATATTGATATACATATATATATTTTTTGCAAATGTAAATATATTAAAAAAAAACAGAGGGCTATTGATACATTTTAAGATCCTAACAAAACATATATCAATATCACCATAATTACTAAAACTAGAATTTATTTTTAAAATGTACTAAGGCCTTTTTTTATTTTAAGATTTCTTTTTCATAATTAAATATCGACTATTTGAGATTTTTAATGTTTCTAAATGACATTTGGACTTTAATAGCATTTTTTTAATCCTAATGACGTTTCTCACCAGATAAATTTAGGTCATATTTTGTGTGTGAGTGTTTTTTCT